CCGTCACGTGCTAATTTTCCATCAGGGGAAATGTGTTCTGGTGCGAGAGGCCCTTATTACTTCAGGGCTGATCAATAGTCTCTGATCTCAAAGCACTGTGATGGAGGCGACACCATCAGCGACTCCACTTTTGAGATTTAATGTGACCTTGTTGACCTTTTGGTGGCCTTTGTTATGTCACTGTGAGCGAGGTTGGTGAAGATGCCTGACTGGCAGAAATGGTTGGAGAACAGCAACGCGTTTGCAGTGATACTGTCACCTTGTGGCACTTTGTAGTATCATCCAAACCACAGACCCGGGCTCAGGACTGGTACCGGCTCGCAGAAAAAAAATAAATAACTTACATTAGTTCTGTTTTATTGATTTTGGAATCTAGAACATGTTTTATTTTGAAAAATTACCGGATTCTCTGTTCTATTTGTCAGTGTGTCACTTGTGACACGGGTCAAGGAGCACTTCTCTGTCACGTGACAGGTGAGAAGGGTCCAGCTGCAGGCCCGGAGGAGGCTGATTCAGGGCAGGTAGTTTTAGGCAAGTAACTTCACGACGGATATGACGTCAGAAGGATGATGCCCGATTCCAAAGTAAGTCGCATGTGGATCTTAAAAAGTTTAAAAGGCCCTGTAATTGGAAGATAATTTAACAGCAAAATCAACTAAAAGTAAAACGGAGTTGTGTTATTTTAATGCACGACAACAACTACGACGGTAATATTGAGTCGACGAGCGTCAATGAAAACTTTATGCTAACTTTAATCCCGGTTACACTCACATTCTCTCGACCATAGAATATATAGCGCAAGTGAGGATGAAATGTTTTAGCACGCCTAGTTGTTCATTAATTAGATGATAATGTCAAAACGACGTTGACATTAATAATTAAATTTAGGATGAATATATGTATGTTTGTGAATGGGTAAATACTGGTCATTTTTTAAAGGGCTTTGGGCTACGTCAAAGAAGTGCGAAATGCGCAAAATATGTGCATTCAATTAAAAATTGACTGCTCATTGTGTCATGTTGATCAGTTTAAAATATTAGATTTAAATGCATCTGTGCTAATGCAGAATTTTACGTCACATTATTTTCCCTGTACTGTACCTCTATATTAATGTCCTCCTCGTTTCTTTGTGACTTTAAAAAGCACTGGGAGTTTGTAGTTTGTCTTTTATTTTGTTTTAACTTGTGTCTCTTAACCTCTTACTTCATTTTAGATTATGCGGCCATTACGAAGAGAATTGCTCCTCTTGGACTCACTGTATCAGAGTCATCCCGATGGGTTTGCTGATGTGGACTACAGAGCCCTGTTTAGGTTGATAGATAAGACACACTGCATGCAGAGTTTGCTTTATGTTCTGGCTACGTTCATATAGCCTTTACAGATACATAGCCTGATTCTGGTAAGATTTGGCACGTTCCTATAGCCTGTACTGGAAGTTCCTACTGTTTTTAATAGTGTGTACTTAATGCAAGTTATTCCTATGTCAAAATATGCTTGTTTTTCCCCTACAGCAGGGTAAAGGACCATGTGGAGGGCCATTTTAACCGAGCTGTATCACATGAAGGTAAGTTTGCCAGACACAATTTGTGTGAGTCACAGTATCGATCATTTTCATTTGGATAGCTCCTAACCAATCACTCAGTGACCTGTTGTCGCTGATCATTTGTAAAGGTGTCGTCTATGATACTTGTAAATGATTATTTAAAACGTTTAAGCACTATTTTCTATTGCAGGGTGTACCATTCATAGATGTGGGCTACAATGCCGACCAAAACTCCACTTTCATTGCGTCTATTGCTGTGGAATAATAATGCGCCGGGTACCCTTCATAAATCACCTTCACATGTGTCAAGAAAAGCACCCTGCTTTTATGGTCTCTGCTGCTGCTGCTAAGGCGCCTGCATCCCCACGACCCACCGCTGTCTCACCTTTTGCTGCCCCACCCATCGCTGCCCATCCCTCTGCCCATTTCCCCCCCCTCTGCTGGACCTTCTACTGCTATGCCACCTGCTGATGCACCACCGTCTGTGCTGCCTGATGTGGCCGCATCATTCATTGCCCCATCTGTTGCCCCACTCTCCACTGCACCTCTTGCTACTGCGCCATGTGCTGCTGCATCCTCTGTGCTGCCTGCTTCTGCCCCACACAGTGCCTCGCCACCTACAGTGCCCATACCGCAAGGTGGACGGATGAAAAAAATCTCTCATCGACAGATTACTGTAAAATGTCCCATCTGCCACATTACGTTCAATAAGAAAAACATTAAAAGGCATATTGAACGAAAGCACACTAAAAGGCAAAAGGATGTGACAGCAATGCACCACCTCAAAAATGAGTGCATCGATCCCGTGAATGGAATATATGCTGTTTCAAAGTCTCACTGTGGTACTTGTATTCCCCTTCATGTTCAGCTTAAAATATGGGGTGAAAATCAGCATGTTTCATGTGAATCATCCGACTGCCAGACAAACATGGACTTTGCATTGAGGAGTGGATTGTCTTCTCATCAGTGTGTACACCTCAGGTCCATAGTATACTGTTCATTGTATGCTTCACACCCTGTACTGAAGGAGGAGACTTTGACCGAGATGGTTAGCAGCAAGTGGTTTGCTGAGGACAAGAAGCTGCTGTGCCTTGTGCGACAAAAGCATGCCAAAGAAAACAACATTCCATTGTCTGTATACACCAACATTGGAACCCCACAGTCCAAAAAGTGCATATCTATTTATGAACCTACAGTGTCATATTTCAGCCGATTGGGGAGAGTCATGGTGTCTTATGACACAAAAAAAAAATACATGGCACTGTCCTTGTTTAAAAACAAACAGATCATGTCCACACAAA